AGATCTGGCCCTCTATTAAACATGATATCAAGTTTGAAAACATTGTGTGTTCTTATTCCGATTTTTTAGCCTAGGTTACTATGTGATCGCACACAAACCCAAGTATAGACCCGGGTCGCCTGAATTGGAACAAAACATTTCGTGTTGTTTTTTGAAATGGTTTGATGGTGCTACTCGCAAGTAGCTTAAGACGGTGGATTTGCCCACCCTCGGGTGGGCTTATAAAATTGATTTTGCCACTATCTAAGTGGCTTAAACACACATTGATGACTTGTTCCAATCCAAATAACCCAACCTTCACCGAACCCACAGGCAATTCAGTAGTTTTATATCATATAAGCACATAGCCTCAAATGGAGCATGTTAATTCATGGCAGTCACTCACATGCAGCAGGTGCTAAAGCATAAAACTTACTGAGTACTCCAGCCAAAACAGAAGCAATTAGAAATCATGCATGATCCTAATATATCAAGAAATGCCTAATGCAACACATGCAAAAATTGCAACTATAGCAGGCTCAGCCATTCTAACATGGCATATGAATGCTACAGCTAACATGTATTCAACTTGAATTGAAAATACAATGAGTTAGTATGATGGCCGAGCCGGTGCAGTGCAAAACAGATGAATGAATGCAAACATGCTATCATACTGTATGCTAATGAAAACTGCCCTAATCTAACCATCATAAGCGGTAAATAAAAGGGAAGAAGCGTGGGGTTGAAAAACATACATCACACACACGCACACTTATTACATTGTGCCCTCACTCGGAGGGTCCGAATAAAATAATATCAGTCCCAAATGAATATTAACAGTCCAAATAATTACAAAATCCTAATTAATTAACAAATTAAACTAGGTAAGCTGTAAACTAGCATGAGCTAGGACTGCCTCGATGCTGCTTCGGATGATCGAATGATGCATGTTGGGGTGGGTGCTTGCACGGAAATCCACTGCGATGCCCAATTAGCCTCTGTTTGCGATTGATCCCGAATGCTGTGCAAGCTTTGAAAGCTACTGATTTCTTGATTCTGCAACAGAGAGCAGGAAAAGGCATGCAATGTATTTTCAAAATGTATGCATGCCTCGATCCTCGTGCCACCAATCACGCATATGATGCATGATGGCCGAGAGTCGATTGCCACGACTCAATATGAAATGAATGCACATATAAACACAACAAAACCTAAACTTCATCATGGATAATCCGGAGTGTCGGCGACTGGGAATTGAGACACGTTCCGTCACTCGAAGTACGAAACGTCCTTCGTTTCCCGTGCTCGGGCTAACTCCTATCCCAAGCACAATGCAATATACATGACATGCATGAATGCAACTAATATACAACCTAGCATGCACAATGCTATGAGATGGCATACACAATGCACGATGTAACAAGGCATACATACTGCTCTAACATACAACCTAGCATACGCAATGCTATGAAATGAAATGGCATACGCAATGCACAATGGACTTACACCAACATGAGTGAACCTTCGCCACACTCACATCAGTAGCCATGGGATGAAAAATGAGACACTTGAAATGTGTACACACAAGCACGCAAACCGAGGACCGATCTAAGGCACAAATGCCACTCTAACAAGACATGGCAAGGCACGAAATATGGCATACAAACATGCAAGTTTCAGCACTAAAATGTGATGCAAAATGATCCCGAAACATGGAAACATGGCACCCAATGCATGAAATGAGACCCGAAACATGAAATTAGGTACATGGAATGACCTATGGCTATGCAAAGCATGCATTATTTGAACACGAAGTGTGAATACAGAATTAAGACAGTCCCAAAACAAGCATATTTACAGCTTTGAGCAAGGCCAAAAGGTGAACACAAATAGGGCTAAGTTAACATGCAAAAAAGGCCCCAAAAGAGAGATAATGAAGCAAGTAGCAGCTGCTGGCCCTAAATGGCCAAGATCCCTTCAACAAAGTTGAAGAGGGGCTCAAAATGAAGTACTTTAAAATTTACAATAAGTCACAAAAACAAACACAAGTATGGCTAAACTAATGTGCAAGAAATGTGCGAAAAGGGAGACAAAGAAGCAAGTGATGGTTTCTGGCCTCAAACAGAGGAGGGCCCTTCAACAAAGTTGAAGAGGGGCCCAAAATATGGTATTTTACAGTTAGTGACCAAACCCAAAACAGTGCACATGCAAGCTTAAAGTACTATGCAAAATAAGGCCTAAAAAGAGGTTTAAACACAAAGAGCAAAAAGGGAGCCTCAAAAAGAAAAGCCCTTGATCAAACATGAAGAGGGGGTCAAAATAAGGCTATTTACAGTTCGGACCAAAGCCCAAAAATATAAACACAAGGGGCTAACAAAAACATGCAAAAATGAGGCCAAAAGAGGGATAAATAGGCAAGTGACAAAAGGAAGCCTCAAAAAGTGAAGAGCCTTTCAAAAATGTTGAAGAAGGGCTCAAAATAAGCCACTTCACAGTTTATAACCAAGCTCAAAACAGTTTACAAATAGGCCAAAAATACTATGCAAGAAAGAGGCATACAAGAGAGGTAAAGAAGCAAGTGTAAAAAGGAAGCCTCAAACAGGGAGAGGCTGTTAAACAAACATGAAAAGGAGCTCAAAATAATGCTATTTTTAGTTAGGTTTGGAGCCCAAAAATGCAAGCAACTAAGGCTTATATACAAAGCAAAAAAAGACTAGAAAATGGAAGAAAGTGACTCACCCTTGTAGACCAATGCTCCAACAACCTTTGAGCCAAGTTTGGGAGTTCTTCACCTCTGGAAATCAGCCTCAAGCTGCTGGAATGGAGGATGGGGGTGTGGTGCTATGAGGTGGTGTAGAAATGGTGTAGGGCTTGGGGTTTTGGAGCTTGGAATAGAGAGAGAGAGATATATAATACAAGAGCCTTAAACCAAATTTTTCTAACCTCCTGAAATGCAGCTGGAGCTGCTGGTTTTGTAGTCAAAGGAGTGGAAAAATTGGGGGGGAAAAACAATTCAAATTTCCCCCCAAAAGGTTGACCCTCGGGCATAGGGCCTAGGGGAAAACAAATTGCACATCTAGAACACACTTGGGGAGGGGGTCATGGCTGGCCAGCTCAAAAGGGCAAAAAAGTTCATCCAACTAGGTAAGTGGCCGGCCTGCTACTTTTTAGGACAAAAAAATGGGTCTGCCGGAAAGAAAGGTGGCCGGTCAGTGGTAGGGAGGTCCAATGGTAGCCATTCAAGTGTTCAAATTGAAGCCCCGGAAGTTATCTTTCCAATGGCGCAAACCTTGCATTAAAATTCCTCCTGTGGAAAAAGTTATGCCCTTTTTGGTGAAGCCACGCAGATTTCGGTCCAACCGGAGTGATGCCCTACTTTAATCAACTATATCTCCCCCGTCCAGAATTGGATTTAGGAGATTCTTGAGTGCAAAATGAAGCCCCGGAAGTATTATTTCCAACGGCGGTGGCCTCATAGCTTGATTCCAAGTATGCAAATGAATAGGCCCGATTCGGCGAGGGCTGTTCGACTCTTTCTTAACGGTTCATGCCCATTTTCTCCCCCAACTGGATTTCTTCCCTCTTCTCCTCTTTTCTTCGACTCCAAACCCCTAAGTAAGGTGTTTTGAAAGATTTTTCAAAGATTTCATCTCTCTTTCATTTATTTCCACTTTGTCCTTGCTCGATTTACCGAAAAGCGCAACATTTGACAAAATGCGAGCCTCGGAACATCGTAAAAACTTTATTTCCAAAACGTTTTGAAAGAGAGGGTTTTAAGATCTAAAATATTTTGATCAAGATTTTTTTGGTCCAAAAAGGGGTATGAAGTTGAGCTTTGACTCTCTCCTTGCCGAAGAAACTGAACCTTTCCCCTGCACACCTTTCTCCATCATGTAAACCATCAGTCGCGTCCAAGTCTTAAAGGCAATCAAAAATGAAGTGTCTACACATATCACCCTTATAGAGTTTTGAGATAGTTTGGCAGAGTGCAGATAATCCCTAATCCGCCACTTGGCCCTATGTGTGCTTCTCGAGGAGCCACAGCTCCATGCTACAATGTTATGTATGCATACTTGGACATCATTTGGGAGGCATAGGACAACCATGTGTTATCTGATCGGAGGAAGAGTACACCGGTACGGCAACCTTGGGATTGTGTTCCTGCTTACATGGATTGGTACCAAACCATTACCCATATGTATGTTCAAAACCTAGCGCGTCGTTCTCAAGTGGACCCAAATATATCAGTATCCTAGCCAAGACACACATGTACTTTTTTTTTCATTTACATTACAAATTATTTATGTAAACTATTATAGGTTTGTATATAATGTTGTATTTGTTCTCGTAATGCAACATATGTCACAGATATATCAGATTACTCATCATTTCATTGAGGCTGGCTATGAGGACAATGTTCAACATTCTAATAGACTTTGCTACGCAATTGATGCAATTGAACAGCTTCTTTAAGATCAGAACATTAGTGAAATTGAGCCCAACACATCTGCTCAAGGTCGATCTGCACCCATCTCTTTCACTACACATCGTTTTGGAGCACATTACACTCATCGGTTACGTAGTTGATAGTAGTTCATAATGTTAGCACAAGTAGTTTGTGATGGTGTTGGTGGATGTATAAGGAAACAAATATTATTATTGTCTTTCAATTATGTGCTTTTTGGATTATGTAAAAGGAGACATATAGTTTATGATGGTGTGGATGGCTTGAACTACTAGTTAATATTATTATTTCTTTTTAGATACTTGTTGTTTAATATTATTACTTTTTAATAGTATTTGCACTTGGTTAATATTATTTTCATTATGTTTTGTGTTCAGACAATGTAAAAATTATGACATCTATTCCATAAATTAGAGAACTATAACTCATATGATATTCTTTTTTTAAAAAATGACCATTACAAAATCTAATGGCAAAATGATATCCATCTCATTACCTCATGCTAGTAAACCATAAAACTAATGTCTTAAACCTCTCATGACTGCTCTCTAATATATCAATCTATGTCAACTACATCAAATGTCTCGCGAGTAGCAACACTAGGTCCTATGTTGTCTTTGAATTGTTGAACGCGGCTAACATATGCATTCTCCCATTCTAATGCACAAGGGTGATGGTGAACTTGACAAAGCACAGCAATGAAAAGAACTGGATGACCGGCCTCCAAAAATGCATTCATCTACATCCAAAAAATTACATATTTTTACTGAATCCATCAAATTTGCAATTACACAAATATTAAACAACAATGTTAGGTTATTTTCATAAGTTATACATGCACAAAATGATTTCCATTGACAAATCCAATGGCAATCTCGCGACGATCAGCTAGGGTTACTAGCGGTGATCTCAAATGTATAAAAGTGAGGCACTGTTGCAATGACAAGTGGTACAAGACTACATTATAAAATGATGCAATAAGATGCCCCATGTCAGGCATAGTCATCCAACAATCAAAGCATGGGCTATCTTCAAAATATAAAAGGATGTGTGTCAGCTTCTCAACCCTTTCATGCGACCCGTATAGTATGACGTATTCATCTTTGTGATTATTCAATTCATGTAGCAGATCACGCCTAACTTGCACCCAGTCATTCTTTCCAAGATCAAGTAAACCCGCAATAGCTCTAAAACCACAATTCCCATCACTATCTACCATCCTTCATCAACTTTATGAATGGTATTAACATAGGTGGGAAGTCACCAGCAAATGCACTTGGTAAACTTGTTCTTGTACGATATGTCTTTGTCTTCACATTTTGCTTCTTCTTTTACTAAATCCATCAAATTTGCAATTACACAAATATTAAACAACAATGTTAGGTTATTTTCATAAGTTATACCTGCACAAAATGATTTCCATTGACAAATCCAATGGCAATCTCGCGACGATCAGCTGGGGTTACTGGCGGTGATCTCAAATGTAAGAAAGTGAGGCACTGTTGCAATGACAAATGGTACAAGACTACATTATAAAATGATGCAATAAGATGCCCCATGTCAAGCATAGTCATCCAACAATCAAAGCATGGGCTATCTTCAAAATATAAAAGGATGTGTGTCAGCTTCTCAACCCTTTCATGCGACCCGTATAGTATGACGTATTCATCTTTGTGATTATTCAATTCATGTAGCAGATCACGCCTAACTTGCACCCAGTCATTCTTTCCAAGATCAAGTAAACCCGCAATAGCTCTAAAACCACAATTCCCATCACTATCTACCATCCTTCATCAACTTTATGAATGGTATTAACATAGGTGGGAAGTCACCAGCAAATGCACTTGGTAAACTTGTTCTTGTACGATATGTCTTTGTCTTCACATTTTGCTTCTTCTCATGCACTTTCGAAGCTTTCTTTTTCTTTGACTGACTGGAAGCAAACGTGCTCTGGTTATCATGGCTATCGTCAACCAACTCAAATGCACATGGGTCACGACGACAAGATATATCAATTTTCTTATGTCCTCGACGTGGATTAGGCTTCACATTAGGCTTAATAAGAAAAGTGCTCGTTGGATTTACAATTTTTCTCAACTTCTTCAACATATCCAATTGTGTAGCAATATCAGACTCATTGAACCGCTTCAAAATCATCTCAAGTTATGGGATACAAGTCAATTCCAATATCTCAACATTCAGATTACGCACATATATAGTAAGTCGCGTCCAATGTACATGTATGCTACTGAGTGGAATAGGACGGCCTTGTCTCATGTAATCTGCAAATCTTGTGAGCATAAGTTAAACCATGTGTGTGCCTAAGAACACACCCACATGCTGTAACATCAATTCCAATTGAATTTGCTTTCTTACTCTCTGCCAACACGTACTCCAATGCACAAATAGACACATTACCCCGGAGCTCTCTAAATTGAGAAGGTTTGAATTGATGTTGCACAGTTGTCAAACTCTTCTCGAATGATGTTTTTACTTGAATGTGCTGCAACTCAAGTAGACAATGTATTTTTTCAAATGAAATCTCAAATATCATTTGACTTGAACCTAATTGTCTCTTCAATCTAGCATGAGCACTCTCTACCCTATTCATATGGATGTAAACAAAAATAGTCAAGCATACGAATTAAAAATAACAATATCATTTATAAGAAATTTTAAAAAAACAAATATTACCAATTGGTTGTAACATTGCCAAAATGCATACACATGTCTATATGTACAACAATGAATTTTTCTTGATACGGATTCAACCAACTCACAGTAACATATTTGATTGGCTCTAAATAGTTACTGAAATCCTTATGCAGTATTGCAAGGTGATCATTGTATTCCTCTTCAGTCGATGACAATACCAAATAGTTCCATACAGTGTTAAACTTCTCCCATTTTTCTTTTGTCTCAAACATTTTCTTGCATTTTGCAAATACCTTCTCATTAATATGCCAACAACATAACAAATGTCGAGCATTCGGAAAGGTGTTGTCAATGGCATTTATCAAAGCAAGCTCTCTGTCTGTGACAATGAGTTCAGGTAAAACACTGTCATCCATAAGATCACGCAAAGGTTGTAACGCCCATGCATAACTATCGACCCGCTTAGTTTGCAAGTATGCGATAGCAACGGAGAATGTCATATGAGTTGATGTCACTCCCACAATTTCAAGAAGAGGAAGCCGATATCTATTCGTCTTATATGTGCAATCCATAATCGACACACGGGAGAACGTACGAAGCAAATCCAAACTCACTGGATGTGCTCAAAACAATTCTGTGACGGTTATAGAGCCTTCCTCACATCGATGACACTCAATGTACTTATGTTTCGCTAATTCACCCAATAGTTGTTGCATCTAGGATCTACCAGCTTTCTGTAGAACCCTACATCAATGTCGTACATTGTAAACTGTCTTCATTGTGTTCATATTAAGGGCATCCCTCTGTTTGAGTGTAATGAGTATCTCTTTTAGTCTTACTAGGCTCCTTGACATATCTACTAATAGCGACTTTTCATTAGCTGACAATCTCTTTGCATATGAATATCGTTGGAGATGCTCCGCAGCTGGATGATTATGCAGTCTGCAAACTGCATTCAATGTCTATTCATCGTTTGTTTTCAACATAAATGCCCTCAAATCAAATGGACATTCGCACTTCTTCGTACCAATTTGTCTCAATAAGTCTTTTGAGCCATCTTTCAACTTTTTACGCGATCTATACTTCTCACTCCACTCACAAGCAAGATAAATTCTTGGTCTCTTACAACCGCCACCATAGTCTAACGTCATTATAATAATAATAAAGCCATTTGTCCTTCCAATATCACGTACACAAGTGAGCAATTCATCTTTGTTGTCGAAAAACCTATATATAATGTCACATAACTTTCATAAAAACAAACTAACAAACTAATTAATAAAAATTATGAACTTACAAATTTCATGTTGAAGGTTACCTGTTTAGCTATAAAATGACTAGTACAATCCACCATAATATCCAATCGAACTCAGTTTCTTCAGTGTATGCCATCTAAAAAAGGGGGGAAAACAATTTTCATTCGATTGTATAGAGTCGAAAAAAAAAAAAAAAATCAGCACTACAGGGCCAAAAATAATGAAACAACTCGGCACTACAGAGACGAACATAATTAAACAATTCGGCACTATATAGCCCAAAAAAATAAGAAAATTCGGCACTTTAATACCGAAATAAATTAAAATAGTCAGAATTTAAGTATAAAAAAATATAAAAAAAAATTCAGAACTTGTATATCGAAATATAAATAGTATTTCGGAAGTTGATTTCCGAATATATTGATAAAATTCAACACTAACTATCCGACTAAAAAAAAATTTACTACACGAAAAAACTAACATTTTCATCATTGATTTTGCTATCACCGGATATATTTTTGCTTGAATTTGAACTTCCATAGGTTTGCAACTCTTCCATATAAAAATCAAGTAAAAATTGTAGAACTAATAACTAAGCGATGTAAATAATAAAGTATAAACCTAGAGATTAAAGCAATATGAGAGATGTTTTGAGAGAATTACTTTGCAAGCAATAGAGGAGTATAAAGTGTGTAACAAGTAAAGTGACAACAATGGAAAAATTAGAGTTTAATTTTTTTAATTCAAAAGATGTATATTGAGATTTTTTTGTTCTTAAAAGATATGTATAGAAAAATTTTCTATATAATATTATGAGTGTTCTTGGATGTCTATTATGGTAATTTCTATTTAGGATATAATTGTCAGTAAATTAATATTTCATTAAGTGTGTGCCCTGAGCTAATCAGGTGTGTGGAAATAGCATTTCCCTGCCCTCAAGGCTAAAATTACTAAGATGTCCAAATTTAGTCAATTTTACCAAAATGCCTTCACTGCTAAAATTACTAAAATCCCCTTGGGACTGACTAATTTACCGAAATGTAAGGCCAATTTTACCATTTTATCTTTATGAACTATTTACCAATTTATTCTAAAGGTAATTCTATTTACACATATAAAAAATTTCAATACACAATATTTATATCTTTCAGATATAGATTATTAAACAAAAGTCAAATGTTCAGATATAAACTTGTGAACAAAAAGCAATTTTTTGGACATAAACAGCTAAATGGAATATATATTTGAACAAATTATTTTTGTTCATTAATTTATGTCCAAATATTTGCCTTTTGTTCGAAAATTTATATCCAAACAAAACAAATGACATGTACTGAGATTTCTTGTGGTGTGTGAATAGAATTTCCCTTATTCTAATTGCAAAATGACCAAAGTGCCATTAGGGCTCCAATTTACCATTTTGCTCCTAATGGGCAAAAATTACAATTTGGCCTTTTTATACCCAACTTCATTAAATAATTCAAGAAACACATATATTCACATAAAATATTGCAAAAATACCTGAAAATAGGAAAACTAGTAGCTTAAAAAATGATACAAAAATTTATGCAAATTCCAAATCTATCCCAAAGTGTTATATTTTTAGATTACCATAAGCGAGATTAAGCTATACAAAAATCAAGTTTTTCCAAAAAAAAATTCACTTTGATATTTTTCCAGTATTAATTAAAGATGATGATGTGTACATAAAAAGTCTCCAAATCTACTAAGGAGTACACTTTTTAAGATTAGAACTCAAAATAATAAATTCTAGGCATGGATTCCATTTTCAAGAATATAAATCCTAATATGCCCTTTTACCAATTTTGTTAACAAATCAACAAATAGAGCTCATGAATCATGGAATAGAAGATAGAGGTAGAACGACATGAAATTACAACGTAAATCATACTAATAAAATAAGTGGAAAAAATCCCTAACATACTTCTAGTGCAAGAGAATAGATTATTTTTGTATATTATGATGCTTTAAATCACAAATGAAAGAGAGGAGATGGAAAGGGGATGGAGGAAAGGCCTTCCAAGTTCCAAGTCTTTAAACTCACCAAATTTTCTTCGAGATTAACTCCAAGGATGTTCACAGAAATCTCTCACTGAAGTCTTCTAGGTTCAATTTTAGTTTAATGTCCACTCTTAAATTGATTTGATTTTAAACAACCCTAAAGACTCATTTTTACCATCACAACACTCACACTTAAAAAATTTCATTAGAACATACTAATAATTGACATAAAATGTGTTTTCACCCACCCCAACCACATGCATATATACACGCTTATACATAAATAGATAAAGAAAAAACAGTACCCTTCATTATGGAAGAACAAATTTCTAAACAATACCAGATAAATTATAACTAAGAAGTTACCAAATTTAAAATGACGAGGAAGATAATAGGATTCTAAATTACCACAATGACTGCTTGCCAATAGATATTCTTTGTCAAGCGCGAAGCTAGTCGTACCTACAAATAGTGAGTGATAGACAAATTTCTCTTGGACAATGGAGTAATTTTGGTCAAAAATCAAACTCAAACAAGTTCTCTCTCTCTCTCTCTCTCTCTCTCTCTCTCTCTCTCTCTCTCCCTGAACCATACCTCTCACACTCCATCTGTTACTCCCTCACTCCTCTTCTATCTCAACCATGGCGATTACTAAGCAGGGAAGGACGATGGCATTTTTGGAAGTAAAGGGCTACGAAGAAGGTAATTTTGGTCAAAAATCAAACTCGGATAAGTTGTTTTTTTTCTTTTTTCTTTCGAACATGGATATGAGATCTTCAGGTTGAGTTTTGTTGTGACACTCGATTGGTAGGTATCTTGACTTTGTTTTGTAAATTACTCCATGTTAGATCAAGTGATCTATGAGTTTGTGTTTTGTTTTTGTTGGTACAATTATTGTTTGTATGTATATCTTTTGTTCTTTTTCTATTTAAACTCTTCTTCAATTGAATCTGTAGTTGCTTCTTGTATTTTCGAAATCGACCGAACTCTATCGATAAATCGAAAAAGATGAACGGACTATTTCGAACCAACATCTAGTCGAAATTGGTTTGACAAATTCCCAACCCGAATAGTTTTAATCGGATGCTGGATGAAGGGCAAACTCGACCTAGACCGTTCCACACATAGCCCCACCTTAGATGATAGGAAAGACGACTAGTAAATTTCAAACATTTTTACTATATTAAATTTTATTGTAATAGTTATAAAAAAAAATTAGCCTTT